ATTAAACTTTTGCAATCAAACAGGCCTTTAATATCCCCTGGTATTCCTTTATCTACTTCTTTCTACTTTTTAGACTCAAACAAGTAGCAAGCAGTGCTTCTTCCCAGCCGTTGAACTACAACTGTGTCCTTTTTTTTCTCTTTATGATTGAATGAAAATATCAAATTCAACAAACTCAAAAGAAATCTTGCCACCTAATTGAAAATTTAAATTATTAACCTTATAAAAATTATAAACAGAAATGATTTTTGGATACTTATTTGAAAGATGATTTGATACACACACAATTTTTCTTTTTAGTCTCGCACACTTTTATTTAATTTTGTTTGTGTCTCTGCTTGATTATTTAATTTAATGACAAAAAAAAAATCAAGAGAATTACGTGACAAGCAAACAAATATTTGTGAAAAATCACTTATTCCGAACATATATGTTTTTGAGTACATCGATATATTTTTACATTAAGGGGAATGAGCGTTTGGCTAAGTCACATAATAAGTAACCTAATTTGGTATCAAATTTGTTATTCACGAGATTTGAATCTAAGAGCTTTTACTTCTAAGTGAAAAGGAATACTACTAATACCAAATGTCTCCGCACATATATGTTTATTTTTTATATTTTAATTAAATAAATAAAAAGAAACTAGTGTTTTGGACCCAAGTCCAAGCCCTATCCAGAAGTAGTATGGTTGAGAAAGCACAACGAGATGCAAGGGCAAGAGGCAATACAGATTCTCTTCTTTCTCCTCCGATTGTCCTCTCTACCTTAAACAAACATACGAGGATCTTACCAATCAAAATTTCCAATCTTTCTCAACCGTCGGATCATGTACAAACCCCTGTTAATACTTGTTGGGTCCCATTGAAAGGACCCCATGAATACGATTCCAAAGAGCAAGACAAGGAGCTGCCTGCTGCTTCCTTCTACAACTCTCTTTTTTCGTCTCCTGCACTTTCTATTCAAACCCTCCCTCCCCACTTTGTTTTCGCTTTGAGTCCACCCAAAGCGGTTCAGATTCCAAATGGGTGACCTTTTGTTTTTTGCTTCTGACTGCTCTTCCTGAATCTATCTTTCGAAAACCAGCCATTTCTGGATAAATCCTGGTCTGGGTTCTCTGTGATTCTTCATTTTCCATTACTTTTCACCATTCTTTTGATTTTTCAAGTTGTGGTTTTTCATTTATTTAGCATTTTAGTGGGGGGTTTTCAGTTTTTTTAAGTGATTGGGGATTCTGTGAGAAGTTGGGAATTTGCAGATGATGCATTCGGGTATGAATTTGGTTACTACTGTGATAGGTTTTGGTATGAGTGCAACATTTATTGTGTTTGTTTGCACAAGAATCATCTGTGGGAGGCTGCGAGGTAGAGAATCGAGGCCTATGTTCGAGATTGAATCAAGGGTTGATCTTGGGCAGGTATGTAATGGATTCCCTCTGCTATATTTGTTTTGTCAGCTTAGAATGATCTGATTTGGGTAGTTTTCCCAGTTTTGAGCATTTTTTTTCTGTATGAGTTATTGATTGATTGTTTGGTAACTGGGATCACTACTTCCCAGTTTAGCATCTCAGTAGCTTACTTGGGTGAGCTTTTATGCGTGTATTTATTTTGACAAAGCTGTATTCAATTCTAAACTACTCTAATTTACGAGGAGGGGGATCTGAGCTTTTATGCGTTTAAAGATATGATCATGCTTGATCTGTTCTAGTTTTTCATGTCAACTTTTGCTGCAGTTGAGAATCAACTCTGAGATATGGAAGAAATGATAATAAAAACAATAGATGTTGCAATGTACTAGTTTTCTGTTGTATGCAGAAAATGCAGTTACTGGATATGGAAGGATACATAAAAGATGACGGGGAAGTTTGGGAATCATTCTTTATTTGTTTTCTTATCAGCATTCATAACTGGGGAGGCTGCTTGCTCAATAACTTTGACATTTGCTTGTTCTTTGTTGCACCATATTAAGATGTTCTGAAATTTCATGCTTTTTGTTTCTGATAACTCAAAGACTAGATTTTTCGTTCACGCCCCTTTGTACTTGTGTTCCCTGCTATGGAGATTGATGTCATTCCACTAAAACTTGAGAGTTTTTCACTTTCTCAATAGTTACTTAAGTTTTGAGCAATGGGAGAGAAGTGAGGGATAAAGAATGGTGGACGGAGGTGTTGATATATCCCACATCGGCCGTAGAAAGAAAGAAAGAAGAGTTTAAATATCCTAACCCCACTCCATCTAATACCGAGACCTTTTGTGATAAAACCCCACGGATTGTGCAGGTGGCAATTACCAAGTTGGGGACAATATCAGTATTGTTAGATGTGGGGCCTTTAGCCTCTCTCTGATAATTCTACAGCAAGGTGGTGGGAGGAGTAGGGAGGAATGAAAGAGATCATACGGAACATAAACTAGAAAAAGAAACCTACTTTACTTTTCCTTAATGCCCCTTTGCATTTGTGTCAACTGATATTGAGATTGATGTCACTCAATTATAACTTGAGAGAACGGGTTCTAACTTCTAAGTTTGCATTGTTTTCTGGCAGCCAGAGCATCAGGTTAGTGGCCTTGAACAAGTTGTGGTTTCTGCAATCCCTACGATGAAGTACGATCAAGAGGCTTTCAGTTCCTTAGAAGATGCGCAGTAAGCTTCACAGTTTCATTTCTCCTAGTGCCTAACAACTCTCATTTGCTTTCCATCTTAAATATTTACTATTAATTGAAATACATCATAAAGTTAGAGCATGTTAGTTTTCCGTGCTTTTTTGTGAGATTTTCTTGAGCTTTGGTACTCACGCGTTTTGGACACTGGTGAGTAAGTCTAATCCATTTTCTTTTGCAGGTGCTCAATCTGTTTGGGGGAGTACCAGGAGAAAGAAGTACTGCGAATCATGCCCAAATGTGGCCACAGTTTTCATCTCTCTTGCATTGATACATGGCTGAGGAAACAGTCTACTTGCCCAGTTTGCCGTTTACCATTAAAAGAATCCCTTGGAACAAAACATGTGAGGTCAGCAACGTTCAGCATGGCTCGATCTTTTGACGAGTCTGAGATTTCAACTGAACATTCTCAGCAGTGGCTATTACCTGGCGCCACTGAGCGTTTGGCAGGCAACGTTAGCAACCAAGGGCATTTAGATTCTGCTCCAGGAAACCCCTCCGAACCGACCCCATCTAGAGAACCAGAAACAAGGCAATGATAAAATCAAAGAGATCGGTCCAAGGAACCAGACATGCATTTGCTTCCAGCAGGCCTGCAATAGGTGACTTATCTATATTTTTCCTTCCCCTTCAGCGGGAATTTGTTTCACATGGTAGGCCGGGTAGGTTTGATCGGAGAATTCTCATACCTTGCATAGAATGCTACCATCCGTTGTCGATGGTACAAACGGAAATTGTGCGACAGAACTCTGAATTTTTGAGTAGAAAGTTTGAAAATGAAGCTTACAAATATAATTTGATTGTTGTAAGTAAGTTTATATTCACTATCACTGCATCTTTTCAACTTCGATGAGTTGTATTTGCTTCAGCATACCAAGTTCCTGAATTTGGCAATTCTTCTGATAACTCATCTGGCCATTTGACCCTGCATTAAGTAAATGCATATACCATAGCTAAGTCCATCAGTTAGAGGTTTGTTTCTGCTAAAGGGAGAATTGTTTCTCGGGTTTTGTTGCAGGATCTTATGTGGAGCGAAAAAAAAAAAAGAAAAAAAAAACTACAGACGGTTTGCTTAAAAGTACATTTCTCATATGATATAATAGACAGAATTGTAAAGCCGACATGATAGGCAAGGAAGGAGAGGGGGGGGGGGGGGTGGCCGGTTTCCAATTTGGGATCCTCCTTACATGACTGAGTGAAATCGTTTCACCGTACACGTCATAATTCAAACGATGCATTTTCTTTATTATTTAAAGATCATCTTTGGAAAATTCATTCGACTTGAAAACTGTATCAATATGAATCAAAAAAGTTAAACAATATTACTTGTCACCATAATCATCAATTTGCTCAACGCATATAGACAGTTAAAAGATGTTCAAAGTAAATGAATTTCTAGGGATAATCTTTGGATGACAGATAATAAATGGTGGGGTTAACACATTTGTATGATAGATTAATACTACATCATCATATAAGGAGGAACAACTCTTTACATATAAAATATCAAATGTTGGTTTAAATAATCAGTTCTCGCCAAAGTGAAACCTAAATCTAGTCTTCAACATGAACTAATTAAACTAAATTTAATAAAGATAATGTATCTGAATTCAATTTTCATGCACGACACAAACTGAATACTAAAAATATTAAAGAGCAACACAATGCGCCCTCAGGATCACCTTTAGAGCATTACAAAGTCAAATTGAGAGAGATGGGTAAATTGTAGCAATTATTCCTTCACTAAAAATTCATTACCATTGGTCCCTCAAATCATTAAAACATGTAGATATGGTCATTTTTGTCAATTTCGTCAAAATTCTGTCAAAATGAGTTATGTTGGAAGGACCATTGCTACAATTGGGTTTTGGGTTAAAGTTGAGGGATCATTGCTTTAATTGAGTTAAAGTTGAGTGAACATTTCTCCAACTGAATTAAGGTTGAGGAACCATTGATACAATTTTTCTTATTTGATTTTTCATATTTACCTCTTGATTTAGCTTCACGTACATTACACCTAACTCATTTTGACAGAAGTTCTAACGGAGTTAACTAAAAAGACCATAACTATTTGTTTTGATGAGTTGAGTGACCAATGATAATAGATTTTTAGTTGAGAGACTATTGCTCCTACTAAGTTAAAGTTGAAGGATCATTGTTATAATTTACTCGAGATATATCATTTGACGAAAGAAATACTAATGTGGAGACTAGATCCCCGGCTGTACCAAGAATCCCTTCAAATTGGCATGGCATCAAAGAATACACGTGGAGCACATAGGCCTGAAAGCCTTACAAAATTCCATGAAACCCACGGTCACCAAATAGACCACAAAACTCAGGAAATCGATAGAAGCTAGAGAGTAGAGACCACATGGACAAAAATTCCCACCGGACCAACCATTAAATCACATCAAAATTTTACACAGAAGGTCGATAATGGTGGCACATGTGGGACTCATATCGCTCTTTTCTCCTTGCTTTCCTTCTCCGACTCGTCTTCCTCGTCTCCCCTCCTCCAAGCACAGACCTTTTACTACCAGTAAGTATGGCATACGCTGTCAACAAAATCCCAGGTTTTATTTTAGCTTAATTTTATATTTGCATGGCTGATTCGAGCTCTAATGGGGTAATTATTTGAGAATTGTAGAATTACCCATTACTTATTGAACTTATTTGATGCATTTGCGAGCGAAATGAGTGTTATTTCTTTGGTTAAAGAAAATTATATTAATTACCCATCTTTTTTTTTTAAGGTTTATCGGATATTTTGGCTAAAAGATTTGGTTTTTGCACTTTATTTTCTGTGAAAGCGTTGAATTGTAGTTTTTTTTTCCGGTTTCTTTCTTCTGGAAAGCCACTTTGAAAGAGTTTTGATTTGTATTTTCTTGGTTTTTCATTTGTGTTGTGATGAGGTCTTGCTGTTGAATACATAATTTGAACAAGAAACCGAAGGAAACTAGGTTGTTTCGAGTCAATGGCGGGCGTGTTATCGATTTTATAAGTAGTTGGTTGAGTTTGAGGCTATAGTTGATTGAAACTTTGATGAAGCTGATTCTCACTGAAATGGGCATATGCCAGTATGTATTAGCTGATCCTCTATTGAGTTGTGTTGATTAAACCGTTGAATTCACCAGTCATATTTATTTGGCAGTGGCGGCACTGAGTGATGATCCGGTTCGTGAATGGATTCTCTCAGACGGAAATGCAACACAGATAACAAGAATTAGTCCTGTAGGGGGCGGCTGCATCAATCGTGCTAATCGTTACGACACTGATGCTGGTTCTTTCTTCGTGAAAACAAACAGGTTTTGCTACATTCTACTTTTGATGTTTCTAATTTTGAAAATTTCAACTGCATATGCTCTTTTAAAATCCTTATCTCCATTTCAAAGTCATAAATATGTTTAGTTAAATCATTGAATCAGGAGCATTGGGCCATCGATGTTTGAGGGAGAGGCTCTTGGTTTAGGTGCCATGTATGAAACTGGGTCAATTCGTGTCCCTAAGCCGTTCAAGGTGCGGAAGTTTTAAAGTTGTTAATTTATCGTGTATTAGTAAAAGTGAACATGACCTCCATGGCAATGCTTGAAAACTTAGATAACCTGCTCTTATGTATTGCAGTTCGGGCCACTACCTACTGGTGGGTCTTACATCATTATGGAATTTATCGAATTTGGTTCATCTAGAGGTAACCAGGTGAGGATAGGTGAATTTTTCATGTATTTGATATAGGTGGCAACGGCTTGTAATTGAATTCTAATGGTATATTTGTATTCAGTCTATTCTAGGCAGGAAGCTTGCTGAAATGCATAAAGCTGGAAAATCTGAAAAAGGTTTTGGTTTTGAAGTTGACAACACTGTAGGCAGGTCGGCGGGCTTTCTAATCATGTGCAGTTGCGCGTGCTGATATCCGCACACACAATTCTTGAGTTCGAGGATAAACACTTTTAATAAATGAGGTATATGAAACCAATTTTTCCTTGCAGCACTCCACAGATAAACACTTGGTCATCAGATTGGATTCAGTTCTATGGGGAGCATAGACTGGGTTATCAGTTGCAGCTGGCATTAGACCAGTACGGTGATAGTACTATATATGAAAAAGGTATATATTGTCTTCCTATGGTTGATTCTGTATCATGGCTGCTTCTACTTACCTTTGAGGATGATTTATTTGGATAGATTGGCCAAGAATAAATCATGAGTTTGCACCATTTATTGTATTATTATTGAATGTGTTAGTTACTGGTTGATCGTATATAACAGGACAAAGATTGATTAAGAGTATGGGATCGCTCTTTGATAACATAGCTATAGAACCATGTTTGTTACATGGGGACTTATGGAGCGGAAATATCAGCGCTGATAAGAATGGCGAGCCTGTTATACTTGATCCAGCATGTTACTGTAAGTTAAATTAGTTCGGTTATCAGATTCCGTCACAATAGAGCATCTTAAAATTGAACTGTGTTGCTTCTAACTGTTACTGTTGGAGGCTAGCCTATACTTGTCGTTTGAAATGAAATACTATCATGGAGCATAAGATATTTGCATATATCATCTGGGAGAGAGGGTGAGTCGAAAGTCTGAAATCAATCCAAATCCCGCCATGTGCTTTGATATGCAAAATTATACAGCATGGTTTGTATATCTTATGAAAGAAGTTGGCTCTGATGATTATCAACAGACAGAAACATGCAGACACTTGTTTTGGTTTTGAGATTGAAAAACTGATGGTTGCAATATATTTTGCATTGCTCAAATCGCGGAAAATGATGTAGTATTTATTTTTTTTAAATTCTAAGTACTGTCAGCTGCTTTTCGTATAGATGGACATAACGAGGCAGAATTTGGAATGTCGTGGTGTGCTGGCTTTGGAGGATCTTTCTACGGTTCCTATTTCGAGGTAGATCCTTTTTTCACCCTTCTCTTCTTGTGGATAAAACAGGAAACCAATTCGAACCAATGAGGTATCATGCATATGGTTAATCTCTGTTCTGTTTCTGGTTTATGTACTCCTGCGCCGCGCCTATATTCATACAAACAAGTTTGAGTGTCATCGGTAGGACATAACTTTCAAAAGAGAAGATCATAACTAGAACTTTAAGTAGGGTTTGGCATTGATGATTGCACTTGGTCTAAGCTTTCAATTGAATACGTAAGTCCAACCAAGCAAACTGAAGTTGTTTCCCAGTGTCTTGGTCTAAGCTTTCATTTGCCAGTTTAATTATTTTTTTTCATTTCTTAATTAATGAGTTCCCATGTGTGTCCAGGTGATGCCAAAACAACCAGGATTTGATAAGAGGAAGGAGCTATATCTGTTGTATCATTACTTGAATCATTATAACCTCTTCGGGTCGGGTTATCGTTCGTCTTCAATGTCTATAATAGACGATTATCTTCGGATGTTGAAAGCTTAGACATTGTGTATAACTTTTTACTTTTAGTGTTTCTGTGGAAACAAGTCAAGTGCATCTGTATATGTCGCTGCTCGGTCTTGGTCGTTTTCTTGGTCATTATAGTGCAAGGGGCTTGTAGCTTATGCGGTTAAGAGTATTTATCTCACGAGAAAAAATAAAGAAAACAGTGAATTCCAATTTTACATTGATGGGATTCCGGGCTATGATTTGCCGGTGCATATTGGTTTGGTTGGGCTGTAATCAACATTTCCCTATTTGGTTGGCTTTGCATACGCTACAGTTCCCTATATCGTTGCAATTAAAAAGGAAATTGCACCGCTTATCTCTTAACTTTAATTAAATTGAAGTAATCGTCTATCAACTAAAAATTTACGATCATTGGTCCCTTAACTTCTCAAGATCTGCAGTTATGGTCATTTTCTTTAACTCCGTTAAAACTTCTGTCAAAATAGGTTATGTGTCACACACGAGGCTTAATCGAGAGACAAATATAGAAAACCAAATGAGAAAAATTATAACAAGGTCCTTCAACTTTAACTCAACTGGAGAAATGATTCCTTAACTTTAATCCAATTGGAGCAATGGTCTCTCAACTTTAATCCAATTGTAGCAATGGTCATTCTAATATAACTCATTTTAATGGAATTCTAATGGAGTTAACGAAAATGACCATAGATGCACGTTTTGATGAGTTAATGGACTAATGGTAATAGATATTTAATTGAGGGATCATTGCTACAATTTTCTCTTAAAAAAATTAAAATGTTTTAAAGCCATAAAAGTTCATAAAATTAAATAAAAATAAAAAGTAAATCTCAGGCAATGTTAAAATTCTGGTATATGCAGAAATATCGATATTTAAATTTGTAGAAATATCGACGGATATATTGAATATCGACATTACATGTTTTCGATGGAAAAAATGAAAATTTAAAATGAAACTTTAGGGTTTGTCAAACTTTGATTTAGACAAAATATAAAAGTTTTTCGATATTTAATAAATGTGTTAAGAATACCGACGATCTACGTCAATTTTAGTTTAAATTTTAAAAGTATCCGTCTCTAGTTTTAAGGATGGACCGTACTAAAAAAAAAATTAAACAATGATCTCGAAGGTTTTCACATAAACGCCCGGCTTCTAAACTGGAAGGACTGAGAGATGACGACACGCAGTCTAAGCAAACAGAAGAAGTAACCAGTTATGTTGGACCCGAACTCAAAACGCGGTCTCTGATCCTTAGAATCTCCGAGTGTCGTCATCCCGGTAAGCAAACAACTTCTTGGAGAAGCAGACGCAGCTTTCATCACCTTCCAGTTAAACAACAGATTGATTGATTGATTTCTACAGATACTGATCACTGCAAAGATTGAGACTTCTCCAATGGAATCCATGGCAGAAGCAGACCCAGAACCACCGCCGCCACCATTGCCACCACCACCGCCACCACTGTCCGACCTTATCCTCTCCCTAGAACAAGCAACCCTTATGGCCAAACAGCTCCCTTGCACCGCCGACCCCACTCACCTCCTCCACATCCATTCCTCCCTCCACCAAGCCCACCTGCACATCTCCAATTTTCTCTCAACACACAAATTGCCCCAGCCCCAGCGGCAGAACTCCCTCTCCTCCGCCACCGGCAACGAGCCCATGCAAGTCGGCGATGGCGATGGCGACGATGATTGTGATGGCTTTGGAGAGGGGGATTCCAGGCCCACAATTGACATGGTTGAGGAGCAGATGAGGGATTGCTTCATCAAGAACAAGCGGCCCAAGAGGCGGCTTTCGCCTTCTGCAGCGGCCCTTGCGGAAGAGAGGCGGATGAACGATGATGGATTTGTGGGGAGTATGAAGGGTTTTGACCCTCATGGCTCAAAGGAGAGGGCTTTGGAGCTTGTGTACCAGTTTCATGGCTGAGTTGGGTGGAAACAGAGCAAAAACAGGGGAAACAACAGAGGAGTTCTGTTGCGTTTTGCACTGCAATGAATCCGACGATTCACAAGGACATGAATACAGTGAGTTTTTTGTGGTTACTATTTGTTCTAAATTATGGTTTTGTTTATGTGATGGAATAGAAATGTATGGTTGTGGATTCGATGGTTATGTATTTTCGTCGATTAACAGGAAAGTATCAGTAGTAATATGTTGAATGAGAAAATTGTTCTACTTGTCAGTATCTCTGCAAAAAAATTAATTGGGAGCAACCTTCTTACTGGGACTTATAACAAACACAACGACACGAGTGATAATATATTTTCTTAATTTCATAGTATTACAGCATTATGCAGTGCACAAATCTTATTCACTGTCTAACCTTTGAACATAGTTTATGGGTCATATATGCTGCTTCTAACAAGTCTGCCGATGTTTAGTTCTTTTCCTAGGAGCACTTTGATGGAAATTTTCCAGCTTGTATATATTTTTGCATTTGCGTTTGCGTGAAAAATGCTGCAATCCTGCAGCTCATGTGCTAGAACAGACCATGCTCTCTATATTGTGATACTGTAAATGCAAATTGTGAAACTCCACAAGATCATCCCTGGATTGATCTTCTGGTCTTGACTGCTGAAAAATCGTAACGTTGAGTTGGCAGAAAATAATTGACCAACATTTCCCAACGCATTTTCAATCGTCATGGGAGTGCATTGTACTGAACCGCAACATGTTACATTTCCCATTAAATGCAGAATGATATCGTCTACACATGGGAAAGAATCCAAATCATAACTCATGTGTTGTTGGAGAATGACTACTCTAATCCTCGTTACAGTGTGCTGGATACCAATAAGGTTGAGATGCAGTAATTATGCCCCTTGCTTCATGGCAGGAACAAGTTTATCTAGACTTTTTGCCGTGAAATTTTTGATATGTTCTGAAAAGCATGATCTTGAGTGTGGAATCGAAACAACCATCGATCTGCAGCACAAGAAAAGATACATCAATCTCCAGTGCTCGTGGTAAACAGCAATAGATTACAGTTTTGATGGAATTGTTCTGTTATGTTCTCAATTTCAAACAAACTAATGATAGACTTTCTTCCCTTGTAACTGAAGAATTGCATTCCTCTCTTTTTCTGTTACTTAAAAGTTAAAAGAAAGAAAAACCATACGCAATGCGGCAATGGTATTTCTTATTCTTTCCCCCTCTCTTTATAAAGGTTTCAGCTTCCTTTCCTACCCTTAGGGGGCATCAGTACAACCGATAAGCGTGTATCCCCTTTCCTAGCAATTGATATATCATTCTGGAACAAGGTAATTATCCCAGCCTTACTGTATCTGTAACCTTCTTCCTTTGACTAATATGTATATACACAGTACTCTTATTACAGTTACGTTATTAGTCTGATTATTTATATAAAGAATAGTCATGCATGTAGGTTTTTCTTCAAGTTGTTGCTGCCAAAGCACTTGAAACTATTTTCTTATTTGATGCTGCCGTTTCAAGTAGGATTTAGGTAGGGAAGTAGTAGTCCTGTAACAAGGTCATTGTAAAGTTTTTGCATGATAAGCCAGGTAACAATTTGTAAACTTGTGCCTTTTAATTTTGCATTTTTCTCTGAAAAAGGAAGTTTTGTGCCCAGAGCATATGTAGCCAGACCGGATGTAAAGGGTCAAGGTCTCTCAGTGCCTAGCACCAGGTAACTTGAACTATAACGGATTTATGTATTCTTTCGCCTTTCAAAAAATTTCATCAGGTAGAATAATTGTTTGGTTGAAAGACTAATTATATTTCTCCTTTTTTTGATGTAGTTTCACCTTGCAGTCAAGGTATGAAATTCAAGCCCTTCGAATTAGAAGTTAACACGTGGAACAGCTCCGCCCCAGTTCATGGACTACAGGTTCAAGGGTTTTCTGACTCTACTGATTGAGGAGGGTGAGTAAAACTTGGCTTCTTAGTGTTATATCGTTCTTCTTGTTTGCATCGGCAAAACTAATCAGATTCTCTATGACTATGAATTTTCATGTGTTACTACCTTACTATTGTTTAGTCTTGCATGATCATTAAAGTAAGTTGTCATTTTAAATTATGAAAATTGGGTGTTCGTTGTTGCATAACTAGTAATTCATCGTAACAGAATCTTGAATTCTGTGTCTGAACTTCAATTGGAACGATCCTCTGACTCGCCAATTGAGTCTTACAACAAAACACAGAAACATATACATTTTAGAGCACGTATGGTAACCATTTCATTTTTTAGTTCAAAAAGAGAGAAGATATTGGAGAAATGACAGAGAGGAAAACATGTGATCCCTTGGCCCATCCAAGCATTTCCATATGTTCACTTCAATGAAAAGATACAATTAGCGCAGCCAAAATTCAAAACGAAAAGTCATTTAACCTTTCTATTTAACTTGTAAAAAACTCTTCTTAATTTATTACCATGGCCTCCAAGCCATATGAAAGAAGTTGGAGAATTATAAGTTTATAACTAACAGGAGAAAAATTGAAGGTTCATTCTTTTGTAGTGGAATGAAAAGTTTTAATCAAAAGAGAGTAATGGAGTCACAAAAAAAAAAAAAAAAAAATTACATTGAGATAATTACACGCCGAAGTTCTTTATAAGTTCCTACATTGAACGTGAAGAAAAATTAATAATCATGGCTCAAAACTGTAGCTATGATAATTTTCTTTCAAGATAAATTCTTCCTCTATTCCATGTATGTGTGATTTTACTATAAAGCAACACTCGATCGGAAAATTGTGAACTAAGGAAGGCTAGTTGATATAAGATTTCGGTTTCATAACAATACTACTGTAAAACACATTTTTTGTCAATTAGAGAAACATAATTAAGCTAGCTGGGAGCAAAAGCACATAAATTGAATAATACAGAGTATCCAACCAAAAGCATACAAAAATAACCTACAAAGTAAAAAAAAATTCAAGATAGGCCCGAACCTTTCTTGGTCCTGAAGTGGGTCCACTGTTTTCGTACCCAAGACACATGCATATACAACGAATGACCTTAGCCAAAAATCACAATAAGTTAGCATCTAAAACTTATTTCGATAAAAGTTACTTTGAAAGGCAAACAAAGTGGGTTTTTCTTTCTCAAATTTCCATATACATCACATTTTTAATGTACTTTGAAGTAATGAATTAAGCCATGGAATGGTTTTTAGGGGGAGACTTGGTGCTAATGTTACTTACTAATTTACTATAATTGTGCATGTTCTATTAATACTAATGATTGTGGAAGCCGATGATCTTCTCTTCATTTCTCTTCACATCATTCCCCAATTCTCTTTTCACTTGCTTCTAATTTTAGTGAAGACTTTATAGTTACAAGTATTATCCCCACATTGTTCATGATAGTTCGTCAAATTCCCCTCAAGATGAAAGAAAATTTTGGGTTCCAACTATGGCTTATTGGGTCATGATATTCCTGCATACTTGCAATCTGATATTTTTGAAAATACCATAGCAGATCCTGAGTTCTGGACCTGGTTAGCCACGGCACATGTGCCGCGGATAAAGTTTCTGAGCAAAAATGAGGGAAGGAAGAAGATCATCATCATAGACATAATTGTGAACCATGTAGGTAACAAGAAGATGGTGGATAAGAAATCAATTGAAACCCAACTCATGTTCGATACGCTGATGATGGCCACTAGTGCTGGCAAAGAGCATAGCGAATCAGAATTGGCTGTTGGGTTCACTCACTATAACATCACTCAATACGCTTGGGTTGAAGTCTCTTATCCATGTTGCATGTAACATAAAATAAAAGTTATAAAGCCAACGAGATGAATGTTTATAAAATAAAAGTTATAAAGCCAACGAGATGAATGTTTATTTTCCGTTATTTCTTTGGGTTTGTATACAACATTCAAGGATAATGTAGGTAAAATTCTCCAGGGGGTGAAGGAAAACATGGCATAGGTCCCGGCCGGAGAAATATAGTTGAATGAGGTAAACGTTCATCGTCAAATACTCGAGGCAATAAGGTGGTTTATCCGTGATCAAATGGCATAAATGGGAAAACTATACTTTCGTGATCAAATTGTGCAACTTCACAAAATCATCCGTGGATAGCTCTTCTGGTCTTGACTGGAAATGAAAATATAAGAATAAGAACGAAGTTAGTAGAATACATTCTGAGGCAGGAGCTTAGCGAACCTCTTCCCACATACTTTATGCACAGGAAACGGAAAATAGCAAATCAATACCGTGGCTCGACGACCAACTGTTCCCAAAGCATTTTCAATCTCCATGGGAGTGCATATGTGCTGGAGTGATCTCCGCAACATCTTTCGTTTCCCATTAAAAGCAGAATTGACCTGTATCAGCAAATGCAAACAAGGCATCCTCTAATGAGGGCAATCAAATCATTTACGCTTGAGGACGGATGCAAAGCTTAGCTTGTGTATTGCGGGAGAGATGAAATAATGGAATAATACATGGAAATAACAAGACGATTGACCCTTTTTTTCATCTTAGACGCGATATTGATATTTTGACTAGAATGACCATTCAAATCCTAACCCGAAATTTCAGCTTCTGTTGCTTGCAGACGTTAGAGGACGAACGCACTTAATGCAATGAAAATCTGTAATGATAGTCTAAAAGAATGATACCGACTACAGAAATTGAACAAACCATTGAGAAGAAGCTTTTAGTAGAGGAAACTGGGGGGTAGTCTACAGGTTGCTTCAGTTTAAATTTAACAATGGCAGCATCAACCTGCAATATAAGCAAAATCAGTCAATCTGCATTTGTGGTTAGTTACTATTCGGTTTAAGTCTTTTAAAAAAGAATTGGTCTGTTACGTTCTCAATTCATCAAGCAAATTACAATTGACATCGTTAGAAGGCATAATTTTTTCCTCTTATGGGATTATAAATTCTTACATTAGGCTGAGGAAAAAATTTTGTCCTTGGGACCTTCATTATGAATTCAGGATCTGAAAAGGGAAATGACAAACAGAAACCAGGTCAGAAAAAAGAATATGTGAATAATTTGAAAGTAACTTGGTACGGCGTCAGAACTCATCGGTAACAAACATTGATGTCTTCTCCTTGTTATCTTGTATATCTCCTACGAATACTAATACTCGATTACCAACAGTGGTTGAAGGAGGAATAACGTGACATGTATCAGACTGTAAGTCTAACTCATCTCAGTCTTTCAGTAAAATTTAATTAAATTAAATGATCAATAGCCTACTATGTACAACTTAAATACAAAGATAGAGATACCTGAATAGAAATTGACGAAGATACTGATGGGCCGGTACTCGGATGTCCGCAAAGATGGTTCCACCAAGCGCAAAGCTGCCTCCTCCTGAAATAACATTACCATTATAGTGATGGAAGGAACCAAATTATGACCCATATGAGATCCATAGATTCAGAAGTCTATGGATCCAGTTTGATTTGTTCCACTCCTAAAAGGGTGGCCCCAAGCCAACAAAGCTCCCCACTTTGCAAGGGTCGGGGGGGAAGGAAAGTCTACCATACGCAGCCTTACCCTTGCTTTGCAAAGAGGCTGTTTCCACAACTCAAACCCGGAGTCGCCCTAACAGATCCAAATTTATTACTATCCCTCATTTACCTATCCTATAAAGTTTTTAGCTTCATGCTATGCTCGGATGAGATATATAATCCAGATAACATTTAAGTGAAAACCAAAACCTTTACAATCATAGATTAATAAAGAATTCCAACCTGGAGTAAGAGAACAACTTCAGAAAAGATGTCCCCCATTGGAAGAAGTTGTTTGACAACATCTGTACTTATATTAAAGGGTATATTAGCGACTACCTGCAATGAAGAGAATGAGCTATTTTAGATTCTTGTAAACTTGTAAACATGTAAAAAGACTAACTGTTTTCATTTGAGCATGCATCGTTGAGAAATTAGCAGGTCATTAGGAAGTCAAATTCATTCTAAGCAATCAAGCAGGGTTCTCACTTTTGCAAGTCTTGAATTTGGACCAGATGGCTCTATACTTCCCAATAAGGACGACATATGTGAGTGAACGTGGCATTTGACAAAGTCCTCATTCAAAACCTACAGGTTTCAGTTGAAGAACTTGAGTTGCTATTCACAATGGCATCAGCGGTAAACATAAGGAGTAGCATAAACATTTAAATTCCATTATGTCCAGAATTCATAGGATCTTGCTCCAGATCAGGAGTACTTTTAGAAATGTACTACTACCAAGGTCCTCTAGAATGCTCGACGAAATATAACATTCTGAGGACATTTGTGAACAAAATGTGGTTTACCTTCAACCGGTCAGTCTGCACAAATCTTTCACTCACAAGAGTAGCCATGTGTGAATCCTAAAGCACGTAAAACATTATTCCAAATCAGTACACAACACCAAAACAATTTGAAATTGAGACAAATACCACTCTTTTTGCAGAATTTCAAATTTAAAGACCCATTGCATACGAAATAAGAAACACACACACAAACACAACCTTTTCGATTGCGAGCACAACTGCACCAGCACTAATAAGAGTATTAGTCAAAGAACCTGTTCCCGGCCCAATTTCTAACACCACATCACCTTCCCCAACATCGGCCGCAGCAGTGAGCTCATCGTTGATCTCAGAATCCAACATATAATGCTGCAAATACACCAAAATTTAACAAACTAAATAAATTCAGAACCAAATATATTATAACAAATCAGATGCTACTTACCCTTTCTAGCGTACTACACACAATAAATTTTGGCATATATATAGGAAAACATAATTGGAACAAAACCCAAATCTTAAAATCCTATCAATTCCATACATTTTCTCAGCAGCCAAACATAAAATTTGAAAAGAAAGAAAGAAAATTTTGATTTTCTGGGAAGGGGAAGAGAGAGAGAGAGAGAGAGAGAGAGAGAGAGAAGGAAATGAGAAACCTGGCCGAGGGATTTTCTGGGAAATCGGCCTTTGGAGTTGAGAGCTGTGAGAGTGGCATGGTAGTCATCTGGGTTTCTTCTGCTTCCTCTTCCACTTCCACTTCCACTTCTTTTGGTTGTTTTACCAGTGCAAACTCTTATATAACAAGGTGAATATGCAGGTGTTCGTGCGCCGAGCGTGCTATTGTGCACTGGCAGTGGAGTTTTCGGTTTCAGAGTTTCGAATGGAGACGATATTGGCGGGAGAGATTGCCGAAGAAGAAGAGGTGCCGAGTTCATGGGTGCCATTGTGCGCCGGCAGTGAATATCTTCGGTATTTTGGTATTTTTATTTTTTTCATGTTTTGAAATAAAATTTTATTAAGCCCAAAAGAGTAAACCAATTTTAAAAAGAGATGTGCAATTTATACATTTCTTTTTACTTTTCATATATTCATTTAAAAAATGAAGCCCAAACTAAAACAAACAACGGAGGTGATTTTCACACATCATTTTTAGTTTTTTAACACTGATTTATTTTTGATCGTCGATTTAAATAAATCAAATGAAAACAACGATCAAAATTAAGTAGAAGCGTGCGAGAGATGTGTTTATCATTTCCCCACAAACAAATGGTCAGATTGTGACAACTACCTATTAACCAACTCAAATGAAACTGCAATCCATTTTCAAGCAGCTATTTCTCATAGTATGTTTACAAATAATTGAAGGATCAATATGGATATCCATTAACTCATCAATTATAATTACATATAAATTACAACAAAAACGAAAAGGGCTAGCATGGTCGACGGATCAATAGGTTTATCAAAGCAATAATCAATATATAGGCTCACAAGTCACATCTAATAAGCTATTGTTTCACCAACTAATTAATTAGACTAAGTCGGTATAAGCTATTTTCTCATCAACTAGCTAATTAGAAGTGTATGTGGACTCTTCCTTTAATTAGCTAGTTGATGAGACAATGACTTACCAAAGCAATGATCATTAGCTAGTCTAAGAGGATAATTAGCTTTGAGATTGAGACATGACCCAGACTCTCATGCATAACTATTTTTTTTTATAGGATTCTTTAGATGTACACCATTGCTTATATACCTAGTATTAAACATCCAAATAAAATGCCAAATTGTTTGCCCAATTTCAATAGGTTTATCTGTTAGGATACATTAGTGTTATGTGATTGTGATACTTGTCAACAGATTGTGCATTTAGTTAGTTAGTTAGTTACATTAATTTGGCTCCTATATAAGTCTAAGTGTAATGACTTCCTGTGTAAGAAATTAATACAAACAACACATTCATCTCTCTCTCTCTCTTCCTACTTTCTCTCTCTAGTTCTTGATAATTCTCTCTGATATATCTGTATACATGTTAACATGGTATCAATCACCGAATCAGCTTACGCTAATTTGTTTGATCCTTCTGTTGCTTCTGCTTCTCCAATTTGATATAGCCTTTACGATTTCAGCTCATGATTGTGTTCTCTCTTTGTGCATTTGACGATCTTTTTCTTCTCTCAATTTCTAGGGTTTGCTACAAATTAGGATCTTTGACACTGTGTTGAAGGTTTGCTGCACACCAGGTGTTTGTTCTGGTGTCTAAGTGACAATTTTCTTCGAAGTTTGCAAATATGGTAACTGTATCACAACTTCATATTCTTTAATCTCCAATTACTGCTCTCATTTCCACAATTTCTACTTCTATGAATATTAAGCTTGATGATACGAATTACTTGAATTTGCAATTTCAAATGCAATTATTGTTAGAAGGTCATGGAATTATGCAGTTTATTGATGGTTCCAATCTCTGTCCTTCTCGATTTATTGTTAATTCAAGTGAATTTGGTATAGTCTTTGGTGATTTTTCTTCTCAAATTGAGAATGATGCCTATGTTGTTTGGAAAATGCATGATCGAGCATTGATGCAATTGATTACTACGATTTTATCATCTGCTGCCATTTCTTGTGCTATTGGTAGTTCTAGTGCCTGTGATCTTTGGAATAGATTGAAAGAACAGTTCTCTACTGTTTCAAGAACCAACATATTTCAGATGAAATCTAATATGCAAACTATTAAGAAATGGTCAGATTATGTGTCTAAGTATTTGCAACGAATTAAAGAGGCTTGAGATTACTTGTCTGCTACTGGGGTTTACTTTGCTGATAAGGACATTGTCATATTGGCACTCAATGGCTTGCCTCATGAGTACAATACTTTCCGATGTGTTATTCGAGGCTGGGAAAGTGTAATTTTTCTTAAAGACTTTAGGTCACAGTTACTAGCAGAAGAGCTAATTGTGGAGAGCAATGTATCATCTCAGCTTTTGTCTGCCATGGTTGCTAATACCAATACCATTTATGAACTGAAGTCTTCTACTTATTCTACTCGATCTAATCCTGGTCATGTGACATATAGTTCATCTGCTGGATCATCTCATGGTCACACTAGTGGTTTTAGGCAGTTCAACAATAATAAACAGAAGGGTAAAGGAAAGTTTAATCAAGGGTATAGGTATCCTGCACTAAGACAACAGTTCTTTAATCAGACTTATGTCCTTACCTCAGGTGTTCTTGGTCCATCTCCAACTGTGCCTTTTGCTCAATCTGTTTTTTGTTAGTTGTGTAATGCTTATGGTCATACTGCACCATTTTGCCATTCCAAGATAGTGGATAAATCTAGTTGCCAGATTTGTGGGAAAAACAACCACACTACTTGGTTCTGTTTTTACAATGATAAGGGTCTTTCATACATTGGTTCATAGCAACCATCTATGGCTCAGTACTCCTATGCTCCTTTAGCACTTCAGTTTCCATCTCAGCCTGCAATGCAAGCCATGTATACTATGGTTCCATCTTACTCTTCAACCTCTATACAAGGAATGCAGAATATGGTTCTATCATCTTCTCAGGCATCTTCATCTCAGACTTTTCCACAACTTTGGCTTGCTAATTTTGGGGCCACAAATCACATGACCACTGATCTCAGTAACTTGTCTTTAGCCTCTCTTTATATCCAACAAATGAGATAGTTCAAATGGCTAATGGAGAAGGTTTAAAAGTATCTCATGTTGGCAACACTGTTATTCATACACCAGTACATCCTATCAAATTAAATTATGTTTTATTTGTGCCCAAGTTGTCTCAGAACCTATTATCAGTATATAGAATTTGTCTTGATAACAACTGTTGGTTGATTTTTTTATGCTTTTTGTTTTTGGATTCAGGACAAGGCCACAAGAAGGATCATCTACAAAGGGCTATGCAGTAATAGACTTTACCCCATCCTATCCCTTGCCAAACATTATTCTTCTTATTCACCAAGCAATATCAAGGTTTCTACATATCTGGGACAACTTATCAGTTCATCTCCTTGGCATCGTAGGTTAGGTCACCCTACCAATACTATTGTTTCTACTATGCTAAGTAAAGCTAATATTAGGTATTCCAATGATGATGTAACAATAGTCTGTCATAGGTACCTAAAAGGGAAATTTACTAAACTGCCTTTTTAATCTAGTACTCATTAATCTCAAATACCTTTTGAAGTTGTACACAGTGACCTTTGGGGTCCTGCACCATGTAATTCAATTGATGGTTTCAAATTCTATGTAACTATCATTGATGAATGTACTCGATTTTGTTGGGTGTTTATACTTATAAATAAATCCGACTTTTTTGATACATTTGGTCAAGCTTAGTTTTCTGCAACTAGTAAGACTTTGCAAACAGATGGTGAGGGAGGGTACATAAATCATAAACTACAAGTTTTTCTCAAGGTTAAAGGGGTGTTACATCAAATCTCTTGTCCATATACTCCTGAGCAAAACGGCCTAGTTGAAAGAAAACATAGGCATCTTATATAAACCATTGTTACCCTGCTGCAATATGCCAAGCTTCCCTCTCATTTCTAGTCATTTGCTTGTTAGGCTACTGCCTTTTTAATCAATAGGATGCCTACACTAATTTTACAACAATGTCATTTCATGTAGGTTTTTTGAGATTTTCTCAACATAATCTACAATCCCAAGGATACCTTGTCGAGTTCAAGTTTTGGGTTGATCAATGGAATGTTTAGATGGCTATTTTTATGTAGTTTCTCTTTCTCATCAAATTCAAGGAAACCTTTGGATTTGGTTTACATTCAGGCAATGATGACCTATCTTTGTCTCTCATTATGTTAGCACAGTACAAACTCTTATGCCAACATTTGTAGCCTTGTCCCATTTATCGCTCCTAGGATCAAGTTCTTGAATTCTTCAGACAAGTCCAGGGTCAGTAGACCAATAGCAAATTTTACCTTATTTTTACCCTTGTTCACCACTCTATTTGCGTTCAAATTGTTGAAGGTAAACACCTCATCTTTCTTCTTATTCGAAGGTGCAGCCTACTTGCAATCTTCACCATCATCAACATCAAAATATTTTCTTTTCAAGCTATCTTTATTACCAATAACTATATGTGCTTCACAAACATAATCAGGTTCAGAACCACTAACATTAGTACTAGCAGGGCTGCTGGTTGCCTTTGTTAACTTTTGAACAAGATGGTACTTTTGGTTTTAGGGGGCGACCTCGGTTTCTTAGGGTTTGGACAACATTCCTCAAGTAAACACGTAATTAATTAGTACACATTGAGAAATCAATGAGTTTATATATGTAATAATTTAGTTAATCAATTTGGTGCACCTAGTTGTTAATACTTTAGAAAGTGGTTTCGACACACCTTTTTCTCCTTTTATCCATTTATTATTCTTTGATCTTTTCAATCAAGGACTAGAACTAAACATGAGTGTACAAATAGAGAGAGAGAAAAGAGGTACATAAAAATATCTTCCTTGATACTTACTAATTGCATAATTAAATTAGCTAGCTAGGGTTTGTGTGTGTGAAAGAGAATGGGAAAATGAATACATTACTTTGAGATTTCTTGGATGCAGTGCAGGTCCTAAGGGTAGTAGGGGTAAGCGCCCGTCTAGGGTCCCCAAACTTTTTTTAATATGTATACATATAATATATAATTTTTTTTAGTTTGAATTTAATAAAATATCTAAATATAAAATTATATAAATTGTTTTGGAACTTGGCGTACAACCTCTTGGGTGGGAGGGGCCCCCAAAATATTTCTTTTTAAATATGTCTATATATAAATATATAGTTTTTACAGTTTGAATTTAATAAAATATCTAAATATAAAATCCTATAAATTGTTTTGGAACTTGGCGTATATACCGTCTTAGATGGGGTGCAAATTTAGTAGCAATTCAACTTCTCTTCGAAATTTGGAGTACAACATACTGGTAGTGAGGCGAGTCTGTGATTCTATGCTTGCGAATCGATCATTTCCCAGTTACG